GTGTGAGCTCCCAAACCTCTCCTTTGGCCCATCATCTCCCAATGTTTTTAATAAAATAGAACAGATGAGGTTTTGTTGAATAAATAGATGCCAAACATGTCAAGTCTTAAATTTGTGTGTCTGTGAAATGGCGACATAGTACAGTACCCAAACTTGTCTACAGGTGACCCTTTGAGTACTGAGTGGCTTCCTCCATGACGGGATTCGCATTGGCATCTTGCCTCTAAAGTCCCCTTGAGGACTTACATGCTTGTTTTTTATTCGCTGTTTGTGAGTACCATTCTTTTATTCAATAAATTTTTGGTTACTGAGGTAATGCGCAAGGTTGGTGCGCTTCTCTTTTGTTGTTCTCCTTCACAGTAACCATGATTGTCCCAGGCCTGTAGCCTGGAGGCTGGGATACATGGTGGATGGGGTCAGTCGTGGGGGGCATGTTATAGCTGCCCAAATCACCTCCAATACAATGTGGCCATTTGGCTAGAGTCGCAGCAGAGGCTGGAATACATGGTGGATGGGGTCAGTACTGGGGGAAGGGGGACATGTTGTAGCTGCTCAATTCACCTCCAAAATATAGTAGTATTTGGCTAAGAGATGTAGATACACTCCCAGCTTCTACAGAAGCCAGACGTCTGTGTACAGGTTTCTACTGTGGCTGACTCAAGCCTTGTAAGGTGTAAAGGAATTGTGTGATTTTAATATTTTAAAAAGGTTTTGCTTTCATTTTTTTATGTTTTGCATTAGTACACATCCCCTTAACAGTGCTCAGCTCTCCATGTTTTTTTCTTTACAATCTATTGCCTATTAACCTTGAAAATAGATAGTATTGATTTTCAAAATTCACCTCCCATTGATGACTGCTAATTTGCCTTTTTTTCCTCCCATCTTCTGCTAATGCTGTCATAGGAGAAGGATGGCTATGGTACTTGCATTGAGGAGGAGGAGCGTTGTCATGCTGGCGATAAGGAAGAGGTTTGCGGTTTACTAATGGCCAATATTATTGAACATCAAAATGAATATAGGATGGTAGACAGCTGTTTGCTATAGGTTACTGAATTTTCCCAATTATCCTTGGCCTTCTTTAAAGTGAAAGTAGACCTTAACAATTAATTTCTCCTTTAGTCTGTTAAATATTCACTTAAAAGTGTTCTATCTATACAATAAATGCAAAAATACTTATTTGCCTTGTCAGAAATTCAGAGCTGTCCTCTGCCCTGTGCACATTCCCTGTGTTATCTCAAGATAATTAGCCCTATGCCCTCCTCAATTGTTATCTTGGACCACAGAACAATTAGTCTCTGTATGGTGAAAAATAGGATATAGGGAAGGTTTGAGTAGTTAATGAAAGGACAATTGGGCAGGTCTGACACCACTCAGTCTACAAGACTTGGAACTGTAGCAGTCTATAGAACTTGGGCGCTGAGTGCATTTCTGAAAGATCAACAGATATTTTTCTGTACTTGCAGGGTTTTATTTTTACCCCAACATATGCTTTAATAAACCCATATCCCATAATTTGCCATCAATATTCTAAGACTTTGTATAAGGAAACCTATATCATGTGTCATTCTTTATTTATTTGATGTAAATATGAATACATTGATTTTTTCCAGGCTGAGCAAAACTCACATAACTCATAAAATATACTTACAATTCATGACAATTTCCATTTTCCTAATTTAGTCATGAGATTGCCTGTTCTCTACAGAGATCAATGTAATACATTGAGCAACAATGCATTGCAGGCACATCTGGCACATGAAATCTGAACAACAGAGCAGTCAGGAAACATCAAACAAGTAGCAGTGAAGCAGAATGAAAGCAAGTGTGAAACGGATATTAATATGGGGGCGGGGAATTAATAAATATTTCACAACTGAAGATGAAATTCTCTTGTAGAGGAAATATAGACACTGATTTATGAGAAAATGTTTAAGTATTTTACTAAAAATATGGCAAATAATTCAAAGAGCATCAAAATTCCAATGCAGGAAAGTTTCACCCAAAGTTAATCTTTAATCGATATCTCTTTTAACAATAATAGATGAGCTAAAAGCAGGAAAGGCAGCTGCCATTAGCTCTTACTGACAGACTCCTTTTCATCAACCTTCTTGCTGTCAACTCTAATTGAGAAATAAGACTAGATAGAAAAGGACACATCTCTGCAATTAGTGAAGCCTGTTGATAGGAGATGCAGGGAAAGGTTTAAAGGAAACCTGTTAGGAGAGAAATATGTAGCTTGCGGTTATTGACCTCCATTTGAAAATGATAGTTGAAATGATAGTTACCTCAATATCTCTGGTTTTGGTATTCATAGTCTCTGACCCAGAATAAAAATGCAGCAGGTGAAGTCTGAACATCCAATCTACATTTGTGTTCTGTCAGGGACCCAGGATGTAATGAAGCCAAAGAATCAGCATAGCAACCAGGAGTTGCTAGTATTTGATGAAAGGATTACAAATTCAGGCAATCATTTCATCCCACCTCTGATATTATTGAGCTACTAAATTAATCTGTGAATTATTCTGTTATTAATTAGGCATTTAGTGAATTGGAGAGGTTGTCCAGAAGGGTCCCTTTCTTATTAACTAAAACCCTGCAATTTATCCTAGAGTGTGTGTTCTTCACTTCACTGACTTTTGCATAGCAGTGGTGAACCTGAGATACTAGCATACCTAACAAGCAAATACAGATTGGAATTCTCTGTACCTTAGACATTATTATTCTAATTAAGAAAAACTATGCTTACTTTCTGGGGAAACATTCTTATTGGGCAGCCATTAGAGACTGTAAATGAAAGTGAGCTCTCTTTTCAGACATTTGTTTCAACCAACATCTCTAAGGACAGCAATTGCCATGAATCCAAAACCCAACTAAGATGGCTATAACTGGTCACATTTTAGACCCATTTGCCTTTTTAATATTGATATTAAAACTAGAGATGAGCGAATTATTCAAAAATTTGGTTCGGCTGATTCGCCGAATTCGGCGAATAAATTCGCTTCGAGCCGAATATATTCGCTGCGAATTTAACTTATAAAAAGGGTGTTTCTAGGCTTCAGAGAGCCTTTATATTAGTGCAGAACACTGTACCTTTAATTTAAATGCCCTTGGAGTCTGCTGGGGAAGAGAAATAATACTGTCAGTCAGTATGACATGCAGATGAGTGCCGTCGATCTTAGAATCACCGCACACTTCACTCATTTGGGCAGTCACGGGGCCAAAACCAGAGTGTGGAGCCACAGTGTGGCGGTGGAGGCAGCAGCAATGGGAGGCCATACAGCACCCTATGACAAAATGGAACCCACCAGCAGTGTGAGGAGACCTGAAAGTGGCACATGGCAGAGTGTGGCGATGGAGACAGCAGCAATGGGAGGCCGTACAGGGACCCATGACACACTCTGGACCTGGCAGCAGCATGAGGAGGCGGTACAGGGGCCCATGACAGATTACGGGCCTGGCAGCAGCATGAGGAGTCGGTACGGGGGCCCATGGCAGATTACGGGCCTGGCAGCAGCATGAGGAGGCGGTACAGGGGCCCATGGCAGAGTGGCAGAGCGTAAGCAGCTAAAATTGAAGGCCATACAGAGGCCTATGTTAAAAAGTCCCCCCAGCAGCAGCGTGGGGAGACGACTATCAAGAGTCCAATGGCAGAGTGGCGGAGCAGAAGCAGCTTCAATTGAAGGCCATACACAGGCCTAGGTTTAAAAGTCCCTCACAGTTAATTCCAATAATGAACTCTACTCCTCCGTGCAATCTACTTACGAGACCCTGGGCAGGTCTGGGTCCAATTTGTGGTAGAGACTGGTTTTGTTCAGCCATGCTTGAGCGAGTAATAACAGGTCTGTGCTGCCCTTTTGTCAGGAATGGACTGGCCAGCAATGGTGGGACTCACCTGCCTTTTGATCTGCAGTACCAGGACTGGCCAGCGGATGATCCCAGCAATCAGAGACTCAACTTTGCAGCCAGCTAACACCTGGAACTGATTATGCTGGGGTATTTAAGGGATGGCCAGACCCACAGACTCTGCCTTGGTGTTGTGTTTGTCCTGGGCCCTGTATCCTGTTTCTGTCCTGCATCCTGTTTTCTGAACCGCTGCTGACTTCTCCTGCTCTGATCCCGGCTCGCTCCTGACCATCCCTCTGCCTGACCCTCTGTACCACGCTGCTTGCTACCTGTTCTGATCCCTGGCTTGTGACCCTGACCATCCCTCTGCCTGACCCTCTGTACTACGCTGCTTGCTACCTGCTGAACCTGGCCTGTGACCCCGACCAATCTCCGCTTGCTCCCCCTGTACCTACCTGCCCTATTGATATTGACCCGGCCTGCCTGACGACGCTTGCTTGTATGTACTGTTATCTGTGGGTGGTTGGTTTGGTTTGGTTGCACTGTATTATGTTTTAGTATTGCACTGCGTTTATGTTTGTATGGTTAGTGTTAATAAATTATATTGTTTATAACATATCTGAGGTCTGCGTTTCCCTGCGTCAGTCACACACCTCTGGTCATACCTGGGAGCCCTGACATTACACCAAGGCCAATCCTGACCAGAAGTGGCTGCACAGGGAAGCCATCTTGGCTTGTTGCTGGGAAGGATGGATCTGGATGAGGTTGTGTATTTATATCTGCTAGTGCTTGATGACAGAAAATATGCTTATCAAACTCTGAAGGAGTATCCCAGGGATCAACTACTAGAATGTATACGGCTCTCGCTCATGTTCTAGTAGATCAGGGCACAGAGTTCTCTGAGGTGCAGCCTTTGATTGAGGTTTGTGCTGAGTTGGTTTCATCTGGTTCCCCCGAATGCAGGGATGAATTTTTTCCACCATTTAGTGCAGACCAGGTAGAGTCCCTGGTGTGGTTATTAGAGGATGATGTGGGTTACTTTCTGGAGCGTTATTCCACATGTTCACCACAGGTACTAAGAGATTGTATAAACGCAGTGCAGTCATTGACCAGACAGGCTTTGTGTAAGCTCAGCTTTGTTCAACCCCTACTGCAGACATGGACAGACTTGTTGCACCCAGCCTCAGTCAGCTTACAAAAACCCAGTCCTGCTTCTAACTCTACTCCTGTATTCCCACCAGCTCCTCCAGTTACAGCCCAGTATACTTGGCTATCTACCGCATGTCAGTACCCTGTTCCCACTCGCTGCACCTATCCTGCCTTTAACCCTGTAAAAAAAGCCCTCTGTAGCAACTGCTCCCTCTCCTGTTCCATCCTCCAGTTTTTCTCTGTCTCCAGCTGCTCCATTCGTTTGCAGACCTGCGTTTACTTGCAGTGCTCCAGTAGTTAAAACCAGAAAAAAGAGCGAAAATTCTTTCCAACCAATACGATCCTGCCAGTATCCAAACCGGTGAACCTGCCTTCCGTGACTCAGCCTGAAGCCTCTACTCAGCCTGAAGCCTCTACTCAGCCTGATGCCTGCATTCAGCCTGATGCCGCTACTCAGCATGATGAGCTGATCCAGCCCGACGATCCTATTAGGCCTCAGTTGACTCGATGCCCGCTGTTGATCCAGATGATCCGGTACCTGACCCAGTGCCCGCTGTCGTGCCAATTGACTCAGAGCCCGCTGTCATACCTGGTGACTCGGTGCCCACTGCCTTGCCAGATGACGCGGTGCCCGCTGGCAAGCCAAATGACCTGATGCCTGGTGACCCAGTGCCCGCTGTCATACCTGGTGACCCGATGCCCGCTGTCGAGCCAGACAATCCGATACCTGATGACCCGGTGCCCACTGTCGTGCCTGTTGACTCGGAGCCCACTGTCTTGCCAGACGACTCGGCGCCCGCTGTTCCGCCAGACGACTCGGTGCCCGCCGCAGTCTTGCCAGACGACTCGGTGCCCGCAGTCTTGCCAGACGACTCGGTGCCCGCAGTCTTGCCAGACGACTCGGTGCCCGCAGTCTTGCCAGACGACTCAGTGCCCGCAGTCTTGCCAGACGACTCAGTGCCCGCAGTCTTGCCAGACGACTCGGTGCCCGCTGTTCCGCCAGTTGACTCGGTGCCCGCAGTCTTGCCAGACGACTCGGTGCCCGCAGTCTTGCCAGACGACTCGGTGCCCGCAGTCTTGCCAGACAACTCGGTGCCCGCAGTTCTGCCAGTTGACTCGGTGCCCGCTGTTCCGCCAGTTGACTCGGTGCCCGCAGTCTTGCCAGACGACTCGGTGCCCACTGTCGTGCCTGGTGACTCGGTGCCCGCCGCTTCGTCTGGGGGCCCGAGACCTGTTGCTCCACCTGAGGGCCCGAGACCTGTCGCTCCATCTGGGGGTCCGGCGCCCGCCGCTCCGCCTGAGGGCCCGAGACCTGTAGCCCCGCCTGGGAGTCCGGCGCCCGCCGCTCCGCCTGAGGGCCTGAGACCTGTAGCCCCGCCTGGGGGTCCGGTGCCTGCCGCTCCGCCTGGGGGCCCGATGCCAGTCGCCCCGCCTGGGGGCCCGATGCCTGTCGCCCCGCCTGGGGGCCCGATACCTGTCGCCCCGCGCCTGTCGCCCCGCCTGGGGGCCCGATGCCTGTCGCCCCGCGCCTGTCGCCCCGCCTGGGGGCCCGAGGCCTGTCGCCCCGCCTGGGGGCCCGAGGCCTGTCGCCCCGCCTGGGGGCCCGAGGCCTGTCGCTCCATCTGGGGGTCCGGCGCCCGCCGCTCCGCCTGAGGGCCCGAGAGCTGTCGCTCCATCTGGGGGTCCGGCGCCCGCCGCTCCGCCTGAGGGCCCGAGACCTGTCGCTCCATCTGGGGGTCCGGCGCCCGCCTCTCCGCCTGAGGGCCCGAGACCTGTCGCTCCATCTGGGGGTCCGGCGCCCGCCGCTCTGCCTGAGGGCCCGAGACCTGTCACTCCATCTGGGGGTCCGGCGCCCGCCGCTCCGCCTGAGGGCCCGAGACCTGTAGTTCCGCCTGGGGGTCCGGCCCCCGCCGCTCCGCCTGGGGGCCCGAGGCCTGTCGCCCCGCCTGGGGGCCCGAGGCCTGTCGCCCCGCCTGGGGGCCCGCTGCTGCTGCTTCGCCCTCCTGGTAGCCCGATGTGCCTCTGCCCGGAGTCCTGCCCGATGATGTGCCTCTGCCCGGAGTCCTGCCCGATGTGCCTCTCTGCCCGGAGTCCAGCCCGATGTGCCTCTGCCCGGAGTCCAGCCCGATGTGCCTCTGCCCGGAGTCCAGCCCAATGTGCCTCTGCCCGGAGTCCAGCCCGATGTGCCTCTGCCCGGTGTGCCTCTGCCCGGAGTCCAGCCCGATGTGCCTCTGCCCGGAGTCCAGCCCGATGTGCCTCTGCCCGGAGTCCAGCCCGATGTGCCTCTGCCCGGAGTCCAGCCCGATGTGCCTCTGCCCGGAGTCCAGCCCGATGTGCCTCTGCCCGGTGTGCCTCTGCCCGGAGTCCAGCCCGGTGTGCCCTCTGCCTGTGCCTCTGCCCGGTGTGCCTCTGCCCGGTGTGCCTCTGCCCGGAGTCCAGCCCGATGTGCCTCTGCCCGGTGTACCGCTGCCCGGAGTCCTGCCCGGTGTGCCAGTCTTTGATATCCCGCCAGTTACCAGACCCGGGCGGTGGAACATTTTTCCCAGCTAGGACTGTTTGGAGCGTCCTGAGGCCGGTCCTTGAGGGGGGGGGTACTGTCAGGAATGGACTGGCCAGCAATGGTGGGACTCACCTGCCTTTTGATCTGCAGTACCAGGGCTGGCCAGCGGATGCTCCCAGCAATCAGAGACTCAACTTTGCAGCCAGCTAACACCTGGAACTGATTATGCTGGGGTATTTAAGGGATGGCCAGACCCACAGACTCTGCCTTGGTGTTGTGTTTGTCCTGGGCCCTGTATCCTGTTTCTGTCCTGCATCCTGTTTCTGAACCGCTGCTGACTTCTCCTGCTCTGATCCCGGCTCGCTCCTGACCATCCCTCTGCCTGACCCTATGTACCACGCTGCTTGCTACCTGTTCTGATCCCTGGCTTGTGACCCTGACCATCCCTCTGCCTGACCCTCTGTACTACGCTGCTTGCTACCTGCTGAACCTGGCCTGTGACCCCGACCAATCTCCGCTTGCTCCCCCTGTACCTACCTGCCCTATTGATATTGACCCGGCCTGCCTGACGACGCTTGCTTGTATGTACTGTTATCTGTGGGTGGTTGGTTTGGTTTGGTTGCACTGTATTATGTTTTAGTATTGCACTGCGTTTATGTTTGTATGGTTAGTGTTAATGAATTATATTGTTTATAACATATCTGAGGTCTGCGTTTCCCTGCGTCAGCCACACACCTCTGGTCACACCTGGGAGCCCTGACACCTTTGGTGTCTGGCTAATGCGCACAAACACTGAACGTCCCAGCGTTTGTCAACGACTTGCCGTTAAGTGATGCAAACCCCGCTGAACCACGTTCATGAGGAGCCGGTACAGGGGGCCATGAATCAGTATGGACCTGGCAGCAGCGTGAGCAGATGACAGAGGCACATGGCGCAGGGTGGTGGTGTAGGCAGCATTATTCTGAAGCCATACACAGGCCTAGGTTAAAAAGCGGAAGCCGTCAGCAGCGTGAGCAGACGACAGAGACACATGGCGCAGGTGGCGGTGGATGCAGCAGTATTCGGAAGCCAAACACAGGCCTCGGTTAAAAAGCGGAAGCCGTCAGCAGCGTGAGCAGACGACAGAGGCACATGGCGCAGGGTGGCGGTGGAGGCAGCAGCAATGGAAGGCCATACAGCACCCCTATCACAAAATGGAACCCACCAACAGTGTAAGGAGACCTGAAAGTGGCACATGGCAGAGTCTGGCGATGAAGTCAGCAGCAATGGGAGGCCGTACAGGGACCCATGACACACACTGACTGGCAGCAGCAAGAGGAGGCGGTTACAGGGGCCCATGCAGAGTGGCGAAGCGTAAGCAGCTTAAATTGAAGGCCATACACAGAGGCCTATGTTTAAAAAGTCCCCCAGCAGCAGTGTGTGGGAGACGACTATCAAGAGTCCAATGCAGAGTGGCGGAGCAGAAGCAGCTTCAATTGAAGGCCATACACAGGCCTAGTCCAATGGCAGAGTGGCGGAGCGGAAGCAGCTTCAATTGAAGGCCATACACAGGCCTAGGTTAAAAAGTCCCCCCAGCAACAGTGTGGGGAGACGACTATCAAGAGTCCAATGGCTGAGTGGCGATCCGGGAAGTCAGCGTTGTGATTGCAGATGCAATGCAGAGATTCTATGAGGTGATGCCGTGGGTGCGAAGAAGATCATATACCGTCGTACTTCCATCCATAAGACGGAACAACCTGCGAACCGGGAGCTTTATTGCCCTGACCCGCTGAGCAGCTTCTGGGATACCCAAGAGGCCCATGGCAGAGTGGCGGAGCGTAAGCAGCTTCAATTAAAGGCCATACAGAGGCCTATGTTAAAAAGTCCCCCCAGCAGCAGCGTGGGGAGACGACTATCAAGAGTCCAATGGCAGAGTGGCGGAGCGGAAGCAGCTTCAATTGAAGGCCATACACAGGCCTAGGTTAAAAAGTCCCCCAGCAGCAGTGTGGGGAGACGACTATCAAGAGTCCAATGGCTGAGTGGCGATCCGGGAAGTCAGCGTTGTGATTGCAGATGCAATGCAGAGATTCTATGAGGTGATGCCATGGGTGCGAAGAAGATCATATACCATCGTACTTCCATCCATAAGACGGAACAACCTGCAAACCGGGAGCTTTATTGCCCTGACCCGCTGAGCAGCTTCTGTGATACCCAAGAGGCCCATGGCAGAGTGGCGGAGCGTAAGCAGCTTCAATTAAAGGCCATACAGAGGCCTATGTTAAAAAAGTCCCCCCAGCAGCAGCGTGGGGAGACGACTATCAAGAGTCCAATGGCAGAGTGGCGGAGCGGAAGCAGCTTCAATTGAAGGCCATACACAGGCCTAGGTTAAAAAGTCCCCCCAGCAGCAGTGTGGGGAGACGACTATCAAGAGTCCAATGGCTGAGTGGCGATCCGGGAAGTAAGCGTTGTGATTGCAGATGCAATGCAGAAATTTTATGAGGTAATGCCGTGGGTGCGAAGAAGATCATATACCGTCGTACTTCCATCCATAAGACGGAACAACCTGCGAACCGGGAGCTTTATTGCCCTGACCCGCTGAGCAGCTTCTGGGATACCCAAGAGTTTGGCTTCTGTGGGGAATATGGTTGAAAACTGAAACTTAAAGGCATGTTGACGGAAGGGCACCAGTGTCAGTGCTCCGGAGGGAATATAGCTTCAAAGCTGACACTTAAAGGTATATCGACGGTCAGAGACCACAGGAAGTGGAGCTTGCGTCTTAAATCGACTGAATGTGGCAGACGTGAAACGTCTACGGGCCGTATATGAAACGGGTTGTTCCTCTTTCTGGAATAAGTGTTGGAAATGGCCACTCTTTTTGGTGTGGCGTTTTGTCTATTTAATTCCGATAACGGACTCTACTCCTCCGTGCAATCTAGTTACGAGACCCTGGGCAGGTCTGGGTCCAATTTGTGGTAGAGACTGGTTTTGTTCAGCCATGCTTGAGCGAGTAATAACAGGTCTGTGCTGCCCTTTGGTGTCTGGCTTAATGCGCACAACACTGAACACTGTGTCCCTGAGTAACGATTCTGTGTCCCTGAGTAACGATTCTGTGTCCCTGAGTAACGATTCTGTGGCCCTAAAGTCTCTGTGGCCCTAACTCTGTCCCTTAATACACACAGGTCTGTCTCTCTTGAATGACCGGAGGCTAATGGAGAATTCTAAGATGGCCGCGATTTATAGCTCCACCATTACACAGTGCTGGCTGGCTGCTGATTGGCTAATGCGATCACATGTCATGAATGCATTATGGGTCAGCGCGCCTTGTCTGCGCGCCTTCCCAGAGATCCCCGCCCCATCTTCTCTGTCCATTTTCTCCGTCGCCACACATGTCGCCGCCATTTTTGGGAAAATTCGATTCGTGCAAATCTTCGGAACGAATTCCACTTCGTC